CTATAAATGCACACCCTCCATAAATGCACGGTGTCCCTCGGTCCCAAGGGGGGTGCACTTATGGAGGTCTGACTGTACATGTTCAACATGATGATCTTTCTTAAAACGGATTTAATATATAATCTAATAAATCTCTACGAAAATTTTTAAAATCTATCTAGTCCACCAATTCTTCTCCTACAGTTATAAAATTAGTACCAAATAAAAGCTTGAAACTTACACTTTCACTTAATGGCTGTGGATTTTTAAAAATTTTATTAAAAAAAAATTTTATTTTTGTTTAAAACTTTTTTTTGTCATATAACTTTTTTTTTATAAACAAAAAATTAAAAAAATAAAGCCATTATGTTGAATTATTCGTTATTTAGTACCTATATACTAATTTTTAATGGAGGTCTATTTGATAAATAGGGAGGAGATAGAGTTTGAATTTTGTTTATTTTTTATATTAAAATTTTTACATCTATTGATCACCAAAAAAAATCCGCATATATGGGCATGGACTATAGAAAAGGGGATAACTACCAAAATCGTGATTTTGAGTTAATGCCACTTCTATGCGTAATTTGCTACAAGGATTAATTTTAGCTTAGAAACCATACCCACTTTACTTAATAAAATTTCGAGATATTTTCCATTTAATTTTTTAAAAACAATAGTAAATTACTTGAAATGCAGATCTTTTTTTCGATTTTCTCAAAATCGTGATTTTGCAGCTATCCCCTTTTCTATAGTCCATGCCCCATATGATTTTTTATATGTGTGCTCAACTATGTTTGCGTTTATGCTGATATGTAACACTCCAATAAAACGTATAATTAAAATTTTATTTAATAAATAATAATAATATTTATGACTATCACTAAAAAAAGTTTTTTTTAATTATGATAAAATTGATGAATTTTGTTTCAGAAAACCAATTTTTGAAACAATATTAGGTGATAATTTATTTCTGCTTGGAATTATAAGATTTCCCACATCAGAAAAAAGTCATTCTGATGGTACAGATGTTGCATTTATGCATAAGTACTTTTTTGCTAAATTTGACATTATAGGAAACTCGTTTTTTTACTATTCCACCAAATAAATGGATCTGTTTGCCAATTTGCAGTTGGTAAAGAAAAATATTTTTTGTATTCACCTTGTACCTCCTCCTCTTCATATTGCAATAAATCATTAAATAAATCATCAAATATTCTGGAATTATTTCCTGATGGGAATAATGCACTACTTGGATGAAATGAGCTGGTAGATTGCCTTCGTTGCTCTTTGATAATTTCATACTGCATTTTTAAAAAATTTAATGTTTCTAAACATGCTTGATTATCAATAAACTTTAAATGCTTGAATCGTGGGTCTAATGCAGATGCTAGCATTGCTAAAATAGATGGTTCTGACCAATAATTCTTTATTGAGTTATATAAAGTTAGGATTATTTTTTCATATAAATCATTAGTATTTGCAGGTCTTGAAATATTGATTTTTTTTTTTCCTTTTTTCTCCATTCCTTTCTTCAAAAATTTGCACCTCTCCTTGATCATTTTCTTCAATTGAATGTAATGCCAATGGCTCTTGATTTTCTTGCAATGATTCTACCTCATTTAAAATATATTCGGCATTAATTGGTGGTATTTCTTCTTCATAGTTATTGTCATTATTGTTAACATCATTATCATTATTATCATCATTATTTAATATATTTGAAAGTATTTTTTTTAAATAGGATATTAATGGAAATATTAATGATAAAGTGACAAAATTTTTGCCACTCAATGTATCAAAGTGACTTAATATGCTAACAAGTTTTTCAATTAATTCCCATTCTTGATCACTTAATAAAAAACTCTTTAATTTTTTAGCATCTTTTTTTACTTCTCTGTCCGAATTCAATTCCATATGCATCATTAAAAGAATTATAATCTTACCCATGCTTTAAATGTACTATTCCAACGTGTTATTACATCAAATGTGGGTTTTAATACTTTTGGATAATCCTCCTTCATTCTCTCTTGTTGTTTTTCTAAGGCTTCTAATTGTTTTGGAGAACTAAAAAAATTTATCAATCTTTTGGCTCTAAGAACAAGAGCTTTAATTTCATCATTATAATTTAAAGCTTTTTTAATGCAGAGCTGGAATGTATGAGCGGAACATGGGATTCTGTCAATTTCCAATGAGTTTTTTAATAATTTTAAAGCAGAAACCATGTTGCTACCATTGTCAGTTGTTATAGCTGAAAGTTTCCAATCCAATTCCCATTTTCTTATTTCATTTTCCAGCAAATCTTTTATAATTATGCCTGTATGAGGATATGGTACATGAACTAAATTTAAAAGTACTTCAATAGGTTCAAAATTTTCTGTTAGCCATGTCCCTGTGATTCCCATGTAACCTTTTCTTTGATTAGTTGCAGTCCAAAAGTCAGTAGTAATGGACACAAATTGGCAGTTGTTAATTAATTTATTGAGCTCATTAGTTGAATGATCATACATTACCTCTAGAGATTCTTTAATTGTAGTTATACATGGAATATTAAAATGTGGGTTAAGAGAATGAACAAATTCTTTAAAGCTAGAACTTTTTAAAATATGAAATGGTTGTACATCTTTAATTATAAATTCAATTAATTTTTTTTTAATTTCAGTGTTTTGATAATCATTGAGTGGTGGTATTGTCAGTTGAATTGAACCTTCATTCTTGTCTAAAATCTGTATCATTTCAAAAGAAAGAACAATAAGAAACAATTAAATATATTAGATGATATTACGAAATACCTTTTTGATCACTTCTTCTCTAATAATTCCATGCTCCTTCCGTAAATGTGAGATGGTATTTGAAGTAGACCCTTTATTTGTATTATATGAAAAAAAATAATTACATGGTTCACCATTTGTTTTTTTGACAACACATCTCCAACCATCTGACATTTTTTCACAATAATTCCAAATAAAGCTCTTGTTTTTTGTTGTAGAGCTCCTTAAAATATTAACATCTCTTGAAAAACTACCAATGCTGGTATTATTTGATGACTCAATTTCAGAAGATTGCAAAAAATATTCATCTTCAGGCTGTGAAAAAAAATTATCTTCCTCAATATTATTATTATATGACATTTGTTCTTTCTAAATGAATGGAAAGGATTGGATTGAAAAGTAAAAAAAAATATAATTGAAATAATACAAAATATTATAATAAAATTTGAACGGAAATTGAATAAGTATTGTGATCAAAGAATTCATTTGTTGAAACATTGATAAAACGTTGACCAAACAATAAAGGTTATATTTATACTAATTTCAAATAGAAATATGATAGTAAAAACTTGAATTAAAAGGGAAACTCATTAAAAATTTGTCTGTATGAAACTAAGTTTATTTGTATGAAAAATTCATTCAGGTTCTTGTATGAATAAAAAAATCAAATACATATATCAAAAAAAAATATCAATGAATCAAATGAAATAGTTCTCATACTTCAATTGACTTTCTAAGCTTATAGCCACTCCTAAACATTATAACTAATTATCACCGAATGAAATATTGTCTTTCTAAACTCCAGCTATTCCTAAATCATTAATTATAAACTTAAAAAATTTACTGTATGAAAAAATTCATAATAATTAAAAAATCAGACATTGTAAGAATTACTTATCAAATGTTATAGTAAAACACATTTTTATGAACAGATACTTTAATAATACAATTTATCTTTATTTCTTTAATTTATATTGAAAATACATAATATAAAATATTGATAGTATAATTAGAACATAATAATAACAATAATAATTAATAATAGTGTTGTTATGATAGAAATTAATTAATATTAATATTAAAGTATTATGTCCAAAAACAGGAATAGTAAGTAAACAAATAATTACACATGACTTGTTACAGACGCGTATATATCTTCTCTTAATATTAATAAACATTAAATTTTTGTCTTCTTTAACTGAAAAACTTAAAATGAAAAATAAAATGATTTTTGTGCCGATAAAATAATATAAAACAGGTAATGCAGTAATCATATTAAATATTATTATTGGTTGTTCTTGTTTTGTAATTTACATTTCCATAATATTAAAAAAAAATTATTTCCGTTGCTTTTCTAACAATTTTTATATTAATATTAATATCTAAATATGATAGGTCAATATCATTTTGTGTCACTCGAGTACTCGTGAGTACTCATGAGTGCGGATCTTTCCATTAATAGTATGATCTACGAGTACTCACGGTACTCACGGTACTCACATTACTCATGAGTATCCGGATTACTCATGAGTATAGATGGGCGCCTAAATTATTTTTGGGGTT